GTTGCCTGTGCTGATTAGATTAAGTGTAAGGTTTTCACCTCGAAGGTCGACATCCCCTACAATTTTTGTTAAGTGTGATGGGTTCTTTAACGTGTGGCTCTCCTCATACAGGGGACCTCCATTTTACGTCCCTAACGTCCCAAACCGAAGCAGGGCGAAGTGAGGAAAGCATTTTTAAGTACCTTCCGCAAGGGCACAAGATCGTTGACATTGGGTAGGATTCGAACCCGGGGCCACTTTGAGTTGACTACTCTGCTGTTACGCCCACACGATCCTATTTTCTATTACACTTTGGCCATGTTACCCCCCCCCCCTCTCCAAGTTACAACACTGCAGTGTGAGATTTAAGGGCGGCCTGGGGAACATTAACACTCTGTCGCATTATTGACCTTGTAGCATTTTACCCTCAGGAGTTCGGGTCACCCACAAGGTCACACTTAACAGCCGGATGTCAGGTTCGAAGTTTCCGGATCAATACATATAGAATAGCCTCTACCAGGCTTCGGGAGGCGGTTGGAACGAGTAGAAATCGGCCAAATAGGCAGATAACATGAATAGCCTCTACCAGGCTTCAGGAGGCGGCTGGAAAGAGTAGAAATCGGCCAAATAGAGAGATAGCATGCCAAGGGAGTTTGGTTGGCCGGAAAGAACAGTTTGCCGCTCCAATTTCTATTCTTTCCAGCCGCCTCCCGAAGCTTGGTAGAGGCTACATATAGAATACAACACTGTGTATTCCGTATCACCGGAGGTACCAGCCCGACCTCGGGTTGGATCGCCCAACGGCCGAAAAATAATTTATCGGGGCGGAGCATTAAGCCTTTAGTCTTCACCAGACTCTTTGGCAGGCTGAATGAATAGTAGAAATCGGCCTTAAAAGGATATATTTTTGTTGCTATTCCTTTCTTTTGTGCTAGACGGCGATACTGTGCGATCTGCATGCAATGGCTAGCCATTACTTGCAGTACTATCTTCTATCACTAGAGGTCGTAGCTAGTCTGTGATGGAGCGTTTTGGAACATGGAAGGATGATACTCCAGATAGGCGCTGTATTCAGATAAGTATTAACTCGAACCTCTGTATAATACTCCCAGGAAACATAGATGCTCTATTTCGAAACTGGCAACTGACAGAAAGTGAAGTCTCCTTAAGCTTTCGACCGGAAAATGAGGCCTCGAACACTGATAACCCACTCCCAGGTCCCGAACTCCAGCCAACCACCTACCAATCACCAGCCAATCACCAGCCAACCTCCAGCCAACCTCCAGCCAACCATAGCAGAACCTCCCGTCCACACCCGAAAGCCGAGCACCAGCCAACCACAGCCGACCTTGCTTCCGACCTTACCTACTAGTACCCCTAACCATGGTTAGGGGGAGTTCGGCTAGTGTTTGAGAGACACCTTTTGTCCTGATTCTTTTACACTTATACTTGAATTTAGCTCTTACTCAAAGCCTTCCATCCATTTTAATTAGTATCTACACTCTTCGCAGATATTGCTGCTAGGTAGAAATGTCTTAAGGATTTTTCTCATATTATGTATTATAGTACTGTACTTTGTAACCAGTTACAAATTATATGTTATCTTTATTTCAGGTCTTGTATTTATAGTAGATTTTTTTATTTGATGTTTGTCTCCACGTTTGTATTTGTGGGTTATCTAATACCAGTCACGACTGCCTTGATAACCTGTGTCTTGACCTGTTGTCATTGCCAATAAAGAAAGAAAGAAAGAAAGAAAGAAAGAAAGAAAGAAAGAAAGAAAGAAAGAAAGAAAGAAAGAAAGAAAGAAAGAAAGAAAGAAAGAACTAGAAAGGCCAATATTTGCTTTGGAGCAAATATAGCGATGGGTTCACCACATTTTACCACATGGCAGGGAAAGAATGAGAAACACAAGGGAAAACAATGCTTTACATTGATATAACTATAGTATGAAGTAACATACAACTAAGACTACAACAGTTGGATAGCTATTACCTACATTATTGGTTAGGATTGCATAATGCAAACTGTTGATTTTCAAGATAAAAAGAAGCGTTCATAGCCCGCATTCCAATGCTGGAGCAGGAAAGCTTAAAATACCTACCAAAACACTTGAATACAGACATACTGTCAGTATGGCATGGCTCTGTGCAGGTGTAAATGAAGTTAAGCCAGTTAAATCCCAACAGCCAATCAGCAAGGAGAATAGAGGAAAGCTGCATGCCTATTGGTTGATGCCTTGCATGCCATTGTGATGACTCATGTCCAAATGTGGTAAACACTGCACACTTACACAGTAATACATTAGCTATTACACAGCCAAAAAACTCAAATAAAACCATTCTAAAAGCCTGTATCACAATAATTTAAAAAACGCCTAGGGGTATTTGCCCACTGTACCTCCATACCAAATTTCAGGACCTTAGGCCCTAAAATGAAGAAGCTGAATCCATTTAAAGATATGGCAGGAGGAGGAGGAGGAGAAGAAGAAACATCAGAAAAAGCAATATGGTTTCACCACACCACTTCGTGGTGTGGTGAACCCATAAAAAAAGAAAGAAAGAAAGAAATTCGGCTGAGTGTGCCAGGGGCTTTAGCCACACGCGCACCGTGTCTTGCTATTCCTGGTCACTCAGTGCCTCTGGCGCGCACACGCTGTCGCTGATGTAATCTACCATGTTTCGACCTATTTTCCAAAATAAGGATGTTCCTTAAACAGATCAAAAGTGAAAAAAAAACAAGAAGAAAAGACGCCGCGCTGGTAAAATATCGGCAATCAGAGGACATGCTGCGCAGGTATTTTGGGTCCAATTTGAAATAATTTTCTCAAAATTCAGCTCTCGGCGACAGAATACTGAGGACGTGACTAGAAAGCCAAATATTAGTCTATATGTTGGGTCGTGTGGCGTAACGGCAGAGTGCTCGACTCGGAACCAAGAGGTCCCGGGTTCGAGTCCTGACATGCCACATGATTACCGATCACCGATTCTCAAAAGAAAAGAGTTAGCTGTTGACCTATAAACTGGCTAAGCTAAATATATCGCAATATAATCATATATATATAATATAATTTTGAACACCCCTCGTAATAGCGGCCGGACAAAGGGCATCCGCCGGAAGGGATCACATCAAGCGGACATACAGAAAAGACAGACGCTATATATGTGCACTGAACTGGGGAAATTTTCCTAGATCTTTTTTTAACATACACGATAAACAGTGAACCATGGTTTCAAGTCCCGTTCTGGGGACTGTGACCTCTTCCAGTACCGTGCATGCCGGGTGAGCGGCAACAGTCGGGATTCGAACTCCCAACCTCTTAGTCCAGAGGCGGAGTCAGTAACCACTAAATAAAGTCGCAGAGGCAGGGTCTCTAACCATTGGACTAATTCAGTGTGGCCGCGTGGCGTAACGTCAGAGTGCTCGACTCGGAACTCGTTGTCACCAAGCACAGTTGGGGCATCATCACTGGAAAGCTTTAAACAACTCCTGCAATTAAATGTGCAAGGATTGAGTATAACAAGTCGTTCGGTGTGATATAGCTAGCTGCCGCCGCGCCGCGTGCCTGTGAAGCTGGAGTGTTACGCCGGAAGGCGGTTATACCGGCTATACTGATACAGAAACAGACTAGGATTCCTACATCTCCTATGGAGATCGCTTATTTCTAGATCTTTCTACCGCCTACACCATGTAATTGTGACGACACGCGACCAGCGAGTACAGAGGAAGAGAGTGGTAATTTGACACCCCGGGAGCTCTAACCAATCAGGCGAACAACACGAATCGGCAGCGACAAATATGGGCTCGTTTTCATCATGAATGACAGGTCTTTTGATCCTTATTTTTACCGAAGTGACACGAAGAATTAATTAACAGTCGTCGCACGCAGTTTTAATAAGGAGCATCGAAGCCTGGAGATGAGCTAGCTCAGATTCGCGCTTCTGTGGACGCGGCAAAGTTTGCGATCTTTCCGCCACATCGAGCACCTGTTGAACTGTGTTCCTGGGCGCTGAAGTGAGTTGTTCCGTTTCCAATGTGGTCTGTTTCTGTTTGGTGGTATCTTAGTAACGTGCGTAGCCACTCTTTTGAGCATAGTAAGACACCAGCTTCTATATCTGTATAGCCGGTTTTGACCGCCTTTCAGTGAAACGCACCGGTTTTTTGATCTGGACCTGTATAGCTGGTATAATTGCCCTTCAGAGTAACGCACCAGCTTTTGTATCTGTATCTGAACAGCCGGAAGAAGAACCCTTCGGCGCAACATAACAGTTTCTATATCTGTATAGCCGGTTTTGACCGCCCTTCGGCGTAACGCACCGGCTTCTTGATCTGAACCTGTATAGCTAGTATAACTGTCCTTTGGCGCAATGTAACAGTTTCTGTATCTGTGTAGCCAGTATAACTGCCCTTCGGCGTAACACACCAGATTCTGTACCTGTGTAGCTGGTACATGTATAACTGTCTTTCGGCGTAACATACCAGCTTCTTGATCTGGACCTGTATAGCTAGTATAACTGCCCTTCGGTGCAATATAACAGTTTCTGTTTCTGTGTAGCCAGTATAACTGCCCTTCGGCGCAATATAACAGTTTCTGTATCTGTATAGCCGATATAACTGCCCTTCGGCGTAACACACCAGATTCTGTATCTGTATAGCCGGTATAACCGCCCTTCGGCGTAACACACCAGATTCTGTATCTGTATAGCCGGTATAACCGTCCTTCGGCGTAACACACCAGCTTCTGTATCCGGACCTGTATAGCCGATATAACTGACTGTCCTTCGGCGTAACACACCAGCTTCTGTATCCGGACCTGTATAGCCGATATAACTGACTGTCCTTCGGCGTAACACACCAGCTTCTGTATCTGGACCTGTAGAGCCGATATAACTGACCGTCCTTCGGCGTAACACACCGGCTTCTCAGGCACGGTGCGGCTGGCTACATCACACCGAACAACCACCGAACAAGAGGTGAAAAACGTCAAGTAACAGCCCGTGACCATGGACCATACGGACAATATGACGATCGCGGACTTCCCCTTTGCAAACGAAACGGACCCGGAGAAAGAAACTCTCGTCCTCGCCTCCGACATCATCACGAAGATCGTGGCTCCGTCGGTGTATGGAGTAGAGATCTTTGCCGGGCTGTTGGGAAACGCGCTTGTCATGTACATGCTGCTGGGCTTCACGAAGATGAAGGACTCCACGCACTACTACATACTGAACCTGGCGGTGGCTGACACTCTGTTCATGTTGGGCGTCCCCTTCATCTCGATCAGCTCGGCCATGGAGAGATGGGTAGGTTTGTTTATTTGTTTGTTTGATTGAACCTTTCTTTATCCATCAAAGCTCAAATCGGCACAGCCTCTACCAGGCTTCGGGAGGCGGCTGGAAAGAGTAGAAATTAGCCAAATAGTCACGGGTGTGCGGCAAACTGTATTCCTTTAGCGGACTAACTCCCCCTGCCTATTTGGCCAATTTCTACTCTTGTCGCTGCCTCCCGAAGCCTGGTAGGGGCTAAAATGATTGTTGGTATAACCAGGTATAACCGTCCTTCGGCGTAACACATCAGCTTCGCAGGTACGTGGCACGGCGGCAGCTAGCTATATCACACCCAACGACTTGTTACATTCAATCTTTGCACATGTAATTGCAGGAGTTGCTTAAAGTGATGATGCCCCAACTGTGCTTAAGTGGCAACGAGTTCAAGTCTACGATAGTTCTGTGGAAATACGAGTTTTTGAATACCTAAATTCTTGTTCTTTTCTGGGCTGGCTGCTTTCTTTTATAAGATCGTGATGTCTATGGACGCTATGAACAAATGTTCACCACGGGTTGGGTTGGCTATTAAAACCTACAAGTACAACCTTAATTCTCGCCATCACATAGTTATATATTATCTTCTGAAACTCTCCCTGAGATTTTGGGACAAAATAGTTGATTGATTGTGCTTTTTTTGTATCGTCCCTAGGTGTTCGGGCAGGCCATGTGTAAAGTGGTGATGTCTATGGATGCTATGAACATATGTTCACTACATACCAATTCTACCGTCATTACTTAATAACTACAATATATCCAACACTACAATATAACAACTACAATATAATCGGGTTACTACACTTTGCTGTGGTTTTGTGCTTTTTATCGTGCCCCAGGTATTCGGGCAGGCCATGTGTAAAGTGGCGATGTCCATGAACGCTATGAACATGTTCACCACGGGTTGAATTGGGTTGGCTATTAAAAACTACTAGCACAACTATATAATTCTCGCCATCACACAGTCACTACATTTTATCTTCTGAATTACGAAGCGTCCTCAATGAGGTTTTGTGCTTTTTCTATCGTTCCCCAGGTGTTCGGGAAGGCCATGTGTAAGATCGTGATGTCCATGGACGCTATGAATATGTTCACAACCGTGTTCAACCTGAACCGCTAGCTACTCGTATATTACACCGAACAACCTGTTACACCCAACCTAGACATTTGCACATTGAATTGCAGGAGTTGTTTCAAGCTTTGTTTAAAACTGTGCTTGGTGGCAACAACGAGTTCCACTCTACGATAATTCTTGAAAAATACGAGTTTTTGAACACCTCGGTTGATAACTCTGATATTCTAAGGCATGACTGTTTTTTGTTCTTTTCTGGGATGGTTTGGTATGTCCATCCTCGCTGACTTTTTGTATTCTGTCTCGTTCCCCAGGTGTTCGGGCAGGCCATGTGTAAGATCGTGATGTCTATGGACGCCATGAACATGTTCACAACGGTGTTCAACCTGGCCGTGCTCAGCGTGGATCGGTACCTGGCCATCGTCTGCTCTACAAGTCACCCAGAGCTCAGACAACCCAAGGTGAGGCATTGAAATAGTAGCGTTTACCATTTTTGTTTGTTTCGCATAACCGGTAAACCGCCTTCAGGCGTAACACACCAGTTTTGTACATGTAAGTACATGTAGAAGTTGCTTAAGACCGTAAGACTGTAAGACTGTAACGTTTGAACCACTCACACCGGGAAGGTCCCCTACTCTTTTCGATAAGTGTGGTGGGTTCTTTAACGCGACTGGGGTGTGGCTCTCCCCAAACACGGGACCTCCTAACCGAAGCTAGGTACTCATTTCCACCTGAGTGAAGTGAGAAAAGATGTATTTTAAAAAGTACCTTTTCCAAGGGCACAAGATCAGCGACATGGTAGGATTCGAATCCGGGACCTCTTGGTACCGAGCCGAACACGCTACCATTACGCCACACGATCCCACATTTTACCCCAAAAAAACATTTACTCAAGCAACTGGATGTGATTTTGGAAACGGTCAGACGTTTCAGCTAGTATCCACTACCTTTCGTCAGTGACACTGGAGAGTTGTCAGAAAAGCAGGTTTATGACCACGATATGCAAATCGCTACCACTTAAAAATCATTTCTAGTTGAGTACTTTATTACCTGGATGTTTAACCGATGTAGCCATAGGAATAGTTAATTTCTTTTATTCACAATCATTTGTTTAAAAGAGTCGACGTTTCGATGACCGTGTGTCATCTTCATCAAGGAAATTTTAATTGTGTGGAGTAACGACAGAGCGTTCGGCTCAGAACGAATTATGTCATGCCACCGATCTTGTGCCCCAGGGAAAGCCACTTAACACTAATTTTCTAACTCAGGTGAAATTGAGTATATCTGTTCATGCGTTTGTCTGCGTTAGTGGCGGCATGAAACTAAGTTGGAAGACCGCAGTGTGCCGTCTTCATGTATTGTGGTAAATGTTGGAATAGAAAAAAAAAACAATCTGTCATCTTCATAAGGACAATATTCAAATATTTTGTCGTTTACTCAAGAATTCATAACTGCAACAGACATGTTTGATTTTCGGTGTTTCCGTCTTATCATTTACTACAAATTGTCTTGTTTTTATGTGCCAAAAATTAATAAAGCCTGATTTGAATTGTAGAGTTGAAGGAGAAACCACTAGCCTAGATAGACGCGTTTGCCTTGTTTTCATGTGCAAAGAACAAATTTTAATAAAGATTGGTAGTGTGACAGTGGGGGGGTTTATAGGCGCTACCAACTGACCCGGCCAATGGGTCTAGACCTTTTCAGCCGAGTGGTTAGAGCGTCGGATTTTGAAGCTGATGATCGGGAGGTCGTGGGTTCGAACCCCGGCCCGGGACCAGGGTTTTTTATCTGTTTCTACTCGCTCCTCCTGTTTCTTGCAGTGGTTCCCACACCGGGAATCGAACCCGGGCCTTGGCGGTGAGAGCGCCAAATCCTAACCACTAGACCATATGAGTAGTAGTTGGACACAATGTAATCTGTGTATATGAAGCAAAGAAACCATTATTATTATCTAATTTTCAGGTTGCTGCCGCCGTGAGCGTGTCAGTCTGGTTCACAGCCATCCTGCTGAGCATCCCCGTCACAAGACGTGGTGACGACATACTCAAGTTTTTTTCAACTTATATTAATGCCACCACCAACACAGGAGACAATACAATACTTATTTGCACCTGAGCGAAGTGAGGAAAGTCGTGTTAAGTGCCTTTCCCAAGGACACAAGATCGGTGACAGGTCAGGACTCGAACCCGGGACCTCTTGGTTCGAGTCGAGGAAGCTGCCGCTACGCCACACGACCTCACTTGCACCGTCAAAACAATAAACAATAGATTTTTCAATAAATTGATTTGATGTAATTTTCAGGTTGCTGCCGCCGTGAGCCTGTCAGTCTGGTTCACAGCCATCCTGCTGAGCATCCCCGTCATGACGGCCAGCGAGAACGTCCTGACAGAGCACGGACACTACGTCTGCATCCTCAACTGGCCTGCGAGCGAGGCTATGTTCCGCCACAAGGTGTGTTCTAGCAATCCTCTCTATCTATCTATCTATCTTCCCCCCCCCTCTCTCCTGACCGAGCACGGCCACTACGTCTGCATCCTCAACTGGCCTGCGAGCGAGGCTATGTTCCGCCACAAGGTGTGTTCTAGCAATCCTCTCTATCTATCTATCTTCCCCTCCCCCTCTCTCCTGACCGAGCACGGCCACTACGTCTGCATCCTCAACTGGCCGGCGAGCGAGGCTATGTTCCGCCACAAGGTACGTTTGTTATGTTAACCGAAGGAATACATATTGTTTTTTGCTCAGTTTCCTCTTCTTCTCCAAACACTGACCCCTATGTATATGTTAATGTGTTTGAGTAAGAATTAACAGAGCAGACCATATGCGAAGGTAAACATTATGCAATTGCTTTGCAAATATTACCTTTCTAGTTTGTTTGTTTGTTTGTTTAGGATTTCCATTAGTTGAATTGGAGTCCGTAGTTAATCATCAGATAGTAGTATTTGGACCATCGCACACAGGGACTTGCCCGTATTCTTTTCGATAAGCACGGTGTGGCTCTCCTCAAACACAGGACCTCTATTTAACGTCCTATCCGACGGACGTACCTAACCGAAGCTAGGTACTCATTTACACCTGAGTGAAGTGAGGAAAATCATGTAAAGTACCTTTCACAAGGGCACAAGATCGGTGACATGTCAGGACTCGAACCCGGGACCTCTTGGTTCCAAGTCGAGCACTCTGCCGCCACGCCACACGACCCCATTAGTGTGAATTGGAGTCCGTAGTTGATCATCAGATAGTAGTACTAGTATTTGGACCATCGCACACCGGGGCATGCCCCAACTCTTTTTCGATAAGTGGGGTGGGTTCTTTATCGTGCGTGGGGTGTGGCTCTCCTCAAACATGGGACCTCCATTTAACGTCCTATCCGACGAACGTACCTAACCGAAGCTACATGTAGGTACTCATTTACACCTGAGTGAAGTGAGGAAAGTCATTTTAAGTACCTTTCACAAGGGCACAAGATCGGTGACATGGGCAGGATTTGAACCCGGGACCTCTTTGGTCTGAGCCGAACACTGTTACGCCACACGACTCCCAGTTGTTGAACAACAAAAGTTGATTTGATTGATTCATTCATTCCAGGTGTTCACGTCCTATACCTTTGTGGTTGGGTTCTTGGTCCCGCTTGCGATCATCACAGCCTCCTACTTGCTGGTCATCCAGCACCTGAAGTCCAATAAACCATTCACTCACTCACTCACTCACTCACTCACTCACTCACTCACTCACTCACTCACTCACTCATTCACACACACTAACTCACACACTCACTCACTCATTCAATCATTCACTCACTCACTCTCATACTCATTCACTCATTCTGTTACTCATTCCTTCCAGGTGTTCACGTCCTACACGTTCGTGGTTGGGTTCTTGGTGCCGCTTGGTATCATCACAGCGTCCTACCTACTCGTCATTCATTCATTCACTCACTCACTCACCCATGCACTCTTTTATTCACTCACTCAGTCATTCGTTCCTCCCAGGTTTTCACGTCCCATACCTTTGTGGTGGGGTTCGTCGTGCCTCTGGTTGACATAACGGCGTCCTGTTCTAATTACCTGCTCGTCATTAATAAATTCATTCACTCATTTACTCATTTGTTCCAGGTGTTCACCTCTTACACGTTCGTGGTTGGGTTCTTGGTGCCGTTTGGTATCATCATAACCTCCTACCTGCTGGTTATCCGGCACCTGAAGTCCAGCACTTCGGAACACGCTGCCGTCTCCAGAGTGTCCGTCAGGATGCGCACCAAAGTCACCAAGGTTTGTGCGGCCTGTCCTTAAATACGCATGTGTGATATTCCATCCTGAATCAGACACACAAAATAGCGTAGTATCTATCGTGTAGTTAGTTTTATAAATCTCCTGTACATTATCATGTAAGCCATGCATGTTCCTTGTATATATTACATTTATGAAATAGTGTTACAGTAGTATTAGACAAGATAGATATTAGAGTAGATATCAGTTTGATATGTTGTAACTCTGAAGAACTTGCCATACATTGTACCTGTGACAACTGTTGTGCAATAAAGTTTGATTTGATTTTTCCATCCTCCAGACGGTGACGGCCATGGTGGCGACGTTTGCTGTGTGTCGCCTGCCGTTCCACGTCTGCCAGCTGGTCCTGCTGGCCTCGGAGCCGCGTCCGACACTCGGTACGTTTGTTTGTTTGTTTGTTTGTTTGTTTGATAGGTCTCTATATTAGTGAGTAGGTAAATGTACTGCACTATTCTTCCCGGGGTCATACAAGTTACAAGTACATGCCAATATGTTTACCTTCGCAAAAGGAAAACATATTGTTTTTGCTCTGTTCCTTCTTCCTCTTCTTCTTCTATAAACCATAAGGTCAATGACCTGAACCAGACGTCTGTCACCATGGTAACAGGTGCTTCTGAGACATCCTGTGGTGTTGAATTACATTATGAAGCAATAGCTGGACAGTGTTTTTTTTAATCCAACATGAGAAGTCGGCGCAATTCAGGGGTACTTTGGACTCCTGCTGATTGATTTTAATAAAATTGAAATATTAAACGTACGTGCACTTATTCTACCCCCCAGGTACGCTGGTGATGTTCCACCTGGCCATGGTGATGTCCTACGCCAACTCCTGCGTCAACCCGGTCCTCTACGTCTTCACCAGTCAGAAGTTCCGCGACAGCTTCCGGGCGGCGCTGCGCCTCAGCGGGCGGCGGGCACGGCAGGAGTACGGGCGGCGGCAGAGGGAGGGGCTCGCCGCCGCTGCCAGAAACCGGCAACTGGGGGGCAACGGCTTCCTGCAGGAGGAGAGATGCGAGGTGAACATCACGATGCTCCCGTACTCAACCCCCGAAAGACTTGAAACTACAGTTTAGGACATTTTAGCGGGCGCCCTGTTCGAAATAGAACCCCCCGTTCGAAATAGAACCCCCGTTCGAAATAGAACCCCCTGTTCGAAATAGAACACCCTACTCGAAATAGAACACCCTGTTCGAAGTAGAACCCCCTGTTGGAAATAGAACCCCGTGTTCGACATAGAACCCCATGTTCGAAATAGAACCCCATGTTCGATGCGTTCGATCAGGATCGGTCTATTTTTTTAGGGGGTAGCCTTTCTCTTGAAATAAAAATGCGATGAAAACGTTGTGATACTACCGTATTTAACTACACAAGGAGATACCTACCATGACATCATTGTTTTGAACCCTCTAGTATTTTATCGATTCCATCCAAGTCATCTGGGTGGCCTGTAAGGAAACGGATTCCTCTAAAAAGAAAAAAATGCTATTTATTATTTATCTCTGTCATGTTTAGTCGGTAAAATGGTCTTGTGTAAGTAATATATAATTGAAGTAAGTTCTATTGTTTGAAAAAGGCACGTTGAGTTTCAGACTGTAGATATATTCGTCAATTGTTGAGTTGTGAATTTGTGACAGAATGTTTTGTTTTAAATTGCATTGAATGTTAAGAAGATATTCGTAGATTCAGTGTCAGTTCTTGATTCGTTATATCGATGTATGACCAGACATATTTCATAAAGTGTCGGATTTTAGCGTAATTTTTCTGTCAGTCATAGTCAACTTGATGGTTACCTTTGTGTACGAATTAGCGTAAATTGTAAATCGTTATAATGTAATTCAAGGATGTCTATTCTTTAAAAACGTATCAGTATCGGAATACAACGTTATAAATCGTCATACAGTGGTATGTATATTCTTTCAATATTGAGTATCAGAATATAGTATTGTAAATCGTATTAAAGTTATAAAAGTGTATATTCAAACCATATTGTGTATCAATATATAACGTTATAAATCGTCATAAAGTAATAGAAGGATGAATATTCTTTTAAACCGTATTGCGTATCAGGATATAGTATTGTAAATTGTATTGAAGTTATAAAAGTGTATATTCTTTCAAAACGTATATATTGAGTATCAGGATATAGTATTGTAAATTGTATTGAAGTAATAAAAGTGTATATTCTTTCAAACCGTATATATTGAGTATTCAGGATATAGTATTGTAAATCGTATTGAAGTAATAAAAGTGTATATTCTTTCAAACCTTATTGTGTATGAGACATTTTCCTGTCCTTGTGAGCGTGTGGTGGGCGTGAGTCATCTTTTTTACTTCTTTTATCCCCCCAAACGCACATAGACCAGCGAGCTTTATGTAAGGTAAGGAACATATCCACCGGACGTCTATTATGTTACGATATACCATTTTGAGCGGATGGATAACAGACATTACATACATGTAAGGTACCGGTACGGATAGCCTGGATGCCAGACCCAAAGCACACTGGACACAAAATATCTCAGTGTGCTAGGGTCTGGTAGGGTCTCTTAGGAAAGGCTCTCGAGCAAAGGGTGGAGAAGCTGTGATTGATGACCCCTCACACCACAGGTAGCCTGTTACATGGTATCACCATTGGTCAGCAGGAGACAATCTTGGGCTCAACAGTGAGGGTCTGCATGCCCTTTTTCGTTAACCGTTATGGGCTATTTTAATTCACCGTTAATCGTTGCTGGCCCGCTCTATTCAACGTTAAGCGTTATCAGTATATTCCTCGTCAGGCGTTATTGGTCGTTTTAATTCAACGTAAAACGTTATTTGTCATCCTAAATTCAGCGTTAAGCGTTAATGAATAATTCTTCGTTACGCCTAATTTTGCCTTTCAAAGTGCAGGAAACGCGTCATTGAAGGTTAAAAATACAAAATTTCCCGGGGGAGAATGCCCCCGGACCCCCCTACATTGCTCGCGCCTTTGGCGCTCGACTCGCGCTTCTGCGCTCGGTCCCTTCGGCTCTAGCCAGAACCAGCTTTCCCGTCAATTTCCGGAAGTTTGCGGAGAATTACAGAATTTTTTAAACGAATCCGTCAACCTTGACAGGCAAATTAACAAAAATCTCGAGTAAAGTATGAAAACATCAGAAGGACCGACAAACACTCTCAACACCATGATTTGCCTCTCAAAATGTGGGAAATTGCGTTTTTGAAGGCTTAAAAATCCTAAATTTCCCGGGGGAGCATTCCCCCCTAGATTACGACGTTCCCCTCTCAAAATCCACTGGGCAGACTGAAAAAAATGCAAGCTGGCCGACGTCGACTCGGACTCCCCTGTATTTGTGGACGCACTCGGGGACCAGGGCAGGTGGGGAACACAGGGAACACATACCTTTAATGCGTGCTTCATTACATGTAAGATATACGTAATTTTGTCAGTGATCACCTTTTCTCACAAAGCGAGATACCAAATCCAGTGCAGCTCGAAAAAAAAGCCTGTCAATTTACCGTTAAGCGTTGCCGGCCGTCCTGAATTTACCGTTAAGCGTTATCGGCCCTGCTGAATTTACCGTTAACCGTTGCCAGGACCCCCCCATGCAGACCCTCAACAGTTAATCATTAACCAGTCAATTTTCTAAATGTTTTTGGAGTTTATTTTCCAAAATAACAGCAGAACTTAGTCTAATAGTAGAAGTAGTGTTCAGCCCAGGCTTTCCTGATTGTTTAGGTAACAGTCCTCTGACACACCAGGACAAAATAACCTTATCTACAGTTTAATCTCATCTGCTGGTGGCCACTGGTAAAGATACAGCTGGGAGTTTTTAACCAATCATAGCAGAGGTGTAGAATTGCTTCCTGCTGTGCCACCAATGGGGCCTTACGCTCAGATACTGAGCGTCCGAGTGGCAGACCCAGGCTCACTGAGATATTTTGTGTCCAGTGTGCTTTGGGTCTGGCATCCAGGCTATGGTACGGAAGGCTCCAGGGCTGAGTCTAAGTTTTATATCGGGGCGGAAATATGATTTAAAGTGGCGTTATGCAATGCTTAGATCGCAATCTGGTCACATTTCCACATCCCGAACCTGCCGGGTTGTTTCTAGGAACGAAAAATTAACAATTTGTATCAGGAACATACAGAAATCGTGCACATGGTTATTTTTCAACTTTTCCGAGTTTTATTTGTCTTTTATCATATTTTTCGTTCTCAAAAGCTGCAGACATGGCAATCGTAAAATTTGGATAGTTAGAGGACCAGGTGGTGCGCTATGCACCACCTGGTGCGGCGCCTATCTTTGGTTCAGTAGCCCTTGGGCCACACAGTTGTGCAGTCACTACAGCAGGGGCTAGTCCACTGGTAGTGGTGTGTGTTGAACTCCCATACACACAGGTCACTACAGCAGGGGGCTAGTCCACTGGTAGTGGTGTGTGTTCAACTCCCATACACACAGGCTACTACAGCAGGGGGCTAGTCCAGTGGTAGTGCTGTGTGTTTGACTCTCATGCTCTTTCCCAAATTTTGAGTGCTAAGCAGAGAAAGCAGTATGTACCATTTTAAATGACAGAAGGGATCGAACTCACGACCTACCGAATGCAAGGCGAGCACTTTACCCACTGGACCATTGCACCGGTCAAATTTGCATAAGTCCTAGACATTGCTGCAATTTACATAACACATCCTTTACACTATATAACCCTGTCTGGGGGTAATTAAGGCCAACCTTTCTTTCAAACAAAAGCCCTTACGCTCCGCTTGTCATATGATTTCAAACAACTGTCCGCATGATATCCCGATTCCTAGAAGTCTGGACACCCCTTTTGTCACATTAAATCACATTACATTATTCTCAGTTTCCCCATCGAATTTGCAGAAAGGTAACATTGAACATTTATAGAAAATTCATGCCGGAGAGCTACTTGCAAGAACATGATAAAACAATATTTTATATAGGATAATAAGCAGTAAACATGACCATAAATAATGCTACTGATGCTACTTTTAATATACTTATTGTTGGGTTTGACTTCTTTGCTGTGCGCAGTTGAGTATGAAATGCCCAAACATTTTGCGAGATGTATGAATTGGGAGGTGTTAATAGAAATGCAGTTTTTGTAGGGTTGGAAGGTAAATAAATTGATGCATTGTATTGTTGTAATGTACATGTAAATGTTTGTCTTGTCAGCAGGGCAAAAAAAGAAGTCAAACCCAACAATAACTACATTGACTGTAGTTATTATAGCCGTCTGGCTAGTTGGGTGCCCTGGCTGTACAAATTGTCTTCTTACAGCCAAATAGCGGTATAACAAATAAAGAAAGCTTGGAAACATTTTGGTGACCATTTCAATCAACTTAATATATACCTCTTTCGGTTTGCCTGGGTACCATGTAGCGTAGAGGAGCAAAATCTGGATGGTACCCGGACTATCTTTTGGTGCTATATATAATGAGGGCAATCGCAAATTTATCCAGCTATTAGTTCCCATAAGTGAGTAAATAATAATGAATAGACCAGAGCCTCCGTAATGATCCGCGCAGCTAGAGAACCGGAACATCTCCCCGGCTTCTGCAGGAAATGTCAGTCCTTGTTATCTCTCGTTCTCCTGAAAAGGTACTGCCTTAAGCACGCGTGAGGGAGTCATTATATATAATGAGCGAAAAATCGGGTGGTTACACCTTAAAAAAAAGAGCGGGAAAAGAGAGATTTCCGTCGCTTTTGGCTGGTGAAGTTTGTGAAAATTCACGTTTTTTTTTCAAAGGCGTAATTATATATAATGAGCGAAAACTCGGGTGGTTACCCTTTAAAAAAAGAGCGGAAAAAGCGGAGAAAATAATCTAAGTCAGCTTTTCGTCAATTTTGGCTAGTAAGATTTGTGAAAATCCACTTTTTTGAATTTACGTGAGAAGATTGAGGATAAAACAGATTCAGTTGATTTCATTATTTTCACAGGAAATTAAGAAATACGATGAAAAATAATCTATTACCACTACGTTGTGAAAATCCATGTTTTTTTCATTGCGTATTCATAAGATAATAATGATGAACAAAAATTCACTCTTCGATATATCCTTAATCCCCAACACTTCTTT